GCTGTGTTCCTGAGGTGGAATCTCTGCACCCGCCACAGGTTCTACGTGGTTAAGTGAGGTTTTGCAGATCTCTCTCTCCTCGACTTAAACACGCAAGTTCTACATAAGCTGCACATTAGGTACTCAAGCACTTTTTCGATCTAACCCTTAGTGTCTGTGCCTCAGATCCCCATTTGTAAAACAGGATAACAGTACCTTCTTACCTAACAGGCATGTTATAAAAAAATGCAGTAGACACAGATGCATACATGCAGCAATAACAGCAGTTATAGAAATGAGGGAAGAGAGGGGGATGGGTTAGTTAAAATCTTAATTTACCTTGTTTCTGTAGTTCTCTGAAGCAATGATCACATACTCTTGCTGGCTGGTTTTTCATATAGTCTAAGCCATGTTTATTTAATGAACAGGCCTGACAAACGATCTGGAAACATGTAAAGCATTACTGTATACGATGTGCACCTATAAAACTCCTAACCCCTTGAAGGCTGACATTTTAGCATCGTTACAATGATAAACAGCCTTCAAACAATTATTTTATATCATAAAGGGTTTAAGGTATATCTATTCTAACCCAAAAGGGGAGTGCCACATATGTCACTTCTAGAACTGGTGTCATGTGACCAAAATTTTCTATAGCTCTTCAAAATATTCTTTACCAAATCATAATATAGAATAACTCAAAAGGACAGTGATAAAAAGATTGAAAAGTGGAGTGAGGCTATATGAATCGGTAAAAACTACTGAATTTCTGGATTAGCAAACTGTAAATTAGCAAATTGTTACTGTATTGTCAAGCCTTTCATACAGAATTTTCAATAAGTTCTTTCAAACAGAATGCTTTATTTTTAGATGTTCATAATATATTTCTAGTTATATTATCCTCTTGACAATTTCTCCATTACACAGAAATATCTTTACTATACTGAATACTAAATAATCACTTGATCAAACAAAGGTTTATTGGAGTAGCCATGTTTTACAGCAAGTAAATATAAAATAGTACTGCTTCAACCATATTTCCTATGCTGAGTGTTCTTGTTTTTTATCTAAAGTATCATACCAGAATACCAGTAGCCTCTCAGCATAGCTGATGTATAACTACAAAACTCTACCTCCACTGGAGCACAAAAGTCTTAAATGACTAACAGAAAAGGAGGAAGTTATAAAAAATATCCAACCTTTCCACACGCTCTGCAGTGATGCCTTCTCCAGGTCAATGTGAATTCACTTGTACAGATCATGCACATAGTGGCTCTGGTATCTGGAATCCAGATAGGAGCCTTTGATCCAAGAGGACTATCCTCCTCCTCTTTCTCTGGATCTGTCTGAGAATGTAGTCATAATTCCATTAAAAGTAGTAATGGATTTTCACCCCCAAATAAAACACAATTACAGACAAGAATGCAGTTTCTTGAGAATTATTCTTTTTGCAACTGCTCCATGTTTTAATATATATTCTCTTACTGATTTACCAATGATGCTATCATAATTCAGTTCTAAAGGAAGATGGTGGCATCATTTAATTAGATCATGTAAGTTTTGACAAATCTTATCTCTACTTATCAGCTACCAAGATATTTCGATTTGTTTACATCAATTCCTTACCTATAATAATAGGTAAATCATTAGTAAAAAGGATATTGAACATTTCCCTGTTCCTCCCAAATTTGTTCAGGATTAAGACCACAAACAATTTTTTTAAGAATGAAGTTTTAATTTTATTAATCAAATGACATTATTATTCTATTACGTTCCAAATTCTGTTATATTACTGCCACTTGCCATTTTCTACCAAACTATTGCAAAGAGAGAAAGAAGATCAATAAAAATCTGGTATACCTCTTCAAGACTTCTGCTAGGGTTAAAAGTGATTCTCTTCTTTGTATATTCTTCAATTGACCTAGAAATGGCTTCTAACCATTCATCTCTTTCTGTAGCAGAACTGTTGGTGTCAAAGACGTCATGTTATAGTTAACATTTAAAATGGCTAAAAAGCTGATCCTATTATATTTTAGTCAAATTTCTATAGCATCAAATGTAAAAGTCTTTGCCACTATCCTTTTGTGACTCAAACGTGATCTGATGCACAGGATGACCTAGGCTTACTTAACTTTTGTTGTTCCTTCCTTTTCAAGACAAAAGAAAAATGGTAGCTCTAATCTTTGGTTGCACCTGACAAATTAGTAGTTAAACTGGAGAAGATTAGTATAAGCAACATGAAGTGGGGAAGGAACTGGTGGAAGAAGCGAGAACAATGGTTTCTGCTGTAAGGGGCAATACTGCATTGGAGATGCATGCTAGCAGAGTAAGTATCAAGCGAGGTATTTCCATTATGCAAAGGAAATACAGTAGTAATGCAATTGTACAAGGTCTAATTTAGAATACTGCACACAACTTTGAACATGCATGTTCAAGAAAGATTAAGTCAAGCTGGAATGGGTACAGAGAAGGAAGACTAGTATGATTAGAGTTTATTTTATAAGAAGGTTAAAGCCGCTTGGCTAATTTAGGCCAGTAAAATGAAGGCTGAACAGGACTACAACTGACATTTATATATTAATCAAAACAACAGCCACCAGGGAGGGAGAAGAGTAAATTTAATTGACAGGACAACACTTGCTCAATAACAAAGGGATATAGGTCAGCCATGAATAAATGTAGGTTGGAAACTAGAAGATTCCTAACCATTAGAGCAGGGGTGGGCAAAATGTGGCCCGCAGGCCGCATCCGGCCCACCAGGCCATTCTATCTAGCACACGGGCCCCTAAAAAAATTTAAAAAATTAATAGTTATCTGCCCCTGACTGCCTGTCATGTGGCCCACAATGGCTTGCCAAAAGTCAGTAAGCGGCCCTCCACCCGAAATAATTACCCATTCCTACATTAGAGCCATGAGGTTCTGGGACAGCCTTCCAATAACAGTAGTGGAGACATGAACTTAATTAGTTTTAAAGTAGAACTTGATCTGCTCATGAAAGAAACTGAGACACATGAGTACTATAAAAGTTGAGGCTTGAACTTTCCTACGTTGCTATGAAGTTACTTTCAAGGAAGTCTTAAGGAAAAATAAATTCCTCCAAGATCCAGTTCTGAATTTCATTTCCATTATTACATTTTACCTTCCTAACTCAGTGTGTTTTATGTGATATCTTTACTTCCTGTCTTAAGAAATAGCAGCATGACAATTAGTTAACCAGCAGCATAGTGCTGATATGTGTTGATAAATGGATATAATATTCCCACTAAATTATTATGTTCCCCTTTCAGTGTAATGGATGCTATATATTTTACTACTTGTGTGTAACAAAAGGTCAGTAACGTTTTTGGGCAGAGTGCCAAAAAACAGTGCAACCTTGACTTGTAAGATGTTGGTGTGCCAGTGACAGATGGCAGGGAGCTGCAAGGGGCCCAAACCTTGTTGCCCTGTGGAGCCCTAGGCCCCTTCCCTGCCGTCCACCCACCTCCGGCAATGAGCTGGGCTGGGCTTGCAGCCTCTCAGCCACCTGCTGTGAGCAGCCTGGGCTCCATGGCTAGCAGAAGGGGCCTGCCCAAAGCCCAAGCCAGCTATGGTTTGATGAGCAAAATGGCTTCACATACCATGAACTGGCATACGTGCCGGGGGTTGCTGACCCCTTGCGTATAGTATCATTGGTACACATGACACTTTACAGAGAATAAAGGCACTATAAAGAACCTACTGCTGACCTGAATAGGTTCTCTTAAACTCTTGTGCATGTCACCTCTCAGTACTGGTTGGCAAGGGAAGAGTCCTGTATTACTGACATTCTGACTACTCCCTTTAAATACAAAACATTTAGTCTAACTCATGATTATTTTTTACTTCATTGCCTGATAAGAACAGCTGTACTACATTAGTTCCGAAACATTCACTTCTCATGTGGCTGGGAGACTCTGGATAATGTATTCAAAACTTGGTTGCTGAACTCCATATATAAGCAACTAAGCAGTCACAGCTCACATGGTCTCTTGTGGGACCATCAGTAAAAAACGTCCCTAATGCTTTCATTTAGTTTAGGAGTAAATCTTCCTTATTTTTCCACATATTTAGCAGTTACTCACTTAGCAGCCTCTCTGAAATTAAGGCACTAAGTGCTCATAGCAATAGGTTCTTAGTGCTCTTTCTATTCATCTATATATAAAAAGAAGAATTCTCCATATACCAAGCAAAGTCCTGTACACTAAGCTGGTAATTAGATTAAGCTGGAACTCCCTCTCTGAATTGGGGGAAAAAAATTGAGAGGTAAGGATTTTTGTGAGTGATGCCCTCTGTTGACCCAGCTATATATGTGGGAGGGGTACAGACAAGTTTTTTGGGACCAAGTACCCTTTTTCAAGGGTCCCTCCTTAGGAAAAAAGGAAGTGCATTAGTTTTACATTTTTACCTCTAGAAAAATACACATTTCCCTCCTCTGGAGTCACCTCAGAATCTGTATACAACTGCTTTTGTGTACAATGAATATATTGATTAAGGTTGTCAGCAAGAAGAGCAGAAAAAAAGCACATTTCTCTGTAGCCAGGTAAGAGTAAATTCAAACAGTTTTGTAATATGGCGTAAGCTTATATAATATAATATGAGAGATGATTCTCTACACATCCGTTGTCTATACTGTATCTCTTTGAGAGGGATAGACGTCTGGATTTTCCCTTCAGCTTGCATATGCCTCTTCATCATAACACATGGGCATTTCCTGAGGATTAAATACAAGCTGGAGATTTTCAGCTGTACCTGGAGACCTCAACTCCACGCAAACTGTCATTAATCCTCAGTAAATACCTTATGCCTCCATTATTGTTTAAATGATCCCTCTTGAAGCAATAGTTTCCCATGATTTTTAAAAAGGGAAGGAGAATTGAAGGTTCTTGAAAGGTACAACATTGACAGTACTAGAAAACAGTCTTCTAAAAACACAGAATAGTAAAGGTAGCAGCAGTGCAAGTATCAATATGCTTTAAATTTTGAAATTTGGGGCCCCTTCCTCCCCAGCTGTTAAATTTCAAATGATTTACCCAACCCCTGGCCTCTAACTAGACCAACGATTCTCAACCAGGGTGCTAAGGCATACCGGGGTACCATGAGATCCTTTGAAGGGTACCACAAGGTGTTAGGAAATTAGCCAGGTGTGAGAAGATAAGCAGATAAGTGGAGGCTCAGTCCCTGTCTGACTATTCCCTCGCCCCCTCTGCCTGATCCCTCTGGAAGGAGGTAAGCCATGTAATAAGTTATTTTTTAAATGGGATGCTGCTTAGTTCACAAAAGTTATGGAGAGGTGCTTCGCATCTAACAAGGTAGAGAACCACTGGACTAGACTGTCCAAGAAGCATGCCACAAACAGCAGCATATAGTTTTTTGAGTTCACTCTTTTTTCCATGTAAAGTAGATCAAAAGGTTTGAGGGCAACAATTTTCAGGCACTCTAAATAAATTGGAAGAAACAAATGTCATCCACTTACGCTTTAGAGATAATTTAGAGATTATGATTTATTTTATATAGTATCTTCTAAATAAAATCATCACAACACCACATTAGCCAAGGTCAGTCTGCATATGCAGTGGAATCAGTCACTTCAAAATGATTGTGCCCACACATCAGTATGAAACATCAGTTTTTTTCTTGTATAATAAAAAACAGACAAATCCAAATGTATGGGATTCACTACCTGATAACTCTAAAGGATAAGTTACTATCTTTTCCAAAATGCTGAAGTGTCATACTAACAAATACAGGGAGGGCAAAGTCATATCTTGTATTTTTGCAAATGCTGTTTGCATGCCTTTAAGAGCTCTATCATCAGTGCATCTAAGTACTGCAGGTCCCATCCTGTGCCTACTGGGTGTAGAATCAAGCCCATGTTGTATGTAGTACATCTTTCCCGAAGATACAAAATTCCTATGAGACATTTATCTAAAATCTAGCGTAAAGACAAAAAACTTTAATCTTCCATTATAAATAACAGTCATTACTCAGACAACTGTGATACTTGCTTTCACTACTCTGGCAAGCTAATGTTGATTCCTCTCTGCTAGAGAGTATGGGTGCCTATACACGAGTGTGGAGGCTGCTCCAACGCACTGTAATTACAATGCTTTGAAGCAGACTTGATTAATTGAGCCTGCTGGAGCGTGGTAAATCACCATACTCCAGCCAATATTCGCGTCTGGTGCATCAGTGTCCCCACGCTTCAAAATGGAGGAGATGAAGGCATTTTAACTAAAGCCTCCACCCACTCCCAGAGCACGTGTAAAAATGCCCTATGTTTGTGTTGTACAAACATCCTGATGTCAGTTAATGCAAGGTCATCCAGTACACATAGCAGCCCATTCTAATTCTGCTTTAGTAAGGGAGGAGGAAACGTGTCCTTTTTTTTTTTTTACTGACGTCAGGATTGTCACAAATGACACAATGTATAAAATTCATGGCTCAAATGCTTTAAGAACAGCATTGCCTTTGGCAAATGCAGCTTTGTAAAGGCAGACAAAAACTGTTCAAAGATGATTTATACTCTGAATGCTACCTTGGAAAATTTAGACAAGCACAATATCTGTTTTTTTTAATATATCTATAATTTAATGCCAATTTTAAGTTTGGCTTCAGTACTGCTCCACACTGTTTCCTGTTTCAATTCCATCTGTATTAAAGCTAGATGACTCATAAAAACTCCCTCAAATGTATATCATAACCCCGGTTATCAAATCAGTTTATTATACAATTCATGTCTCCCCTTATTAGTGATAAAGTAAACTAGTAGAGAAATGTGGTCACATATTGGTAACTTTGGAAGAGACAGAAGAGTCTAAATTAAAAACTATATTTTCCTCTATCAAAACCCAAATTAAGACTGCTGAAGTAAATCATTTTAAAAGGAGTAATGTTTTTCCTTTCAACAAGTTACAAGAAATAAGATTTCAACTTACTTAAATATCAGTTTTTACAGGATATGGCCAACTTGAGGGAAACTCTCTCTTTCCACCTCAATTTGGTTAACAGTGTCGTGATTACAGCAGCATTCCTATACAAGTGTTGTCATTGTCCAGGCAGTTCAAAAAGTAACTAACTATCTTAGTATAGAATCTGAGCTTTTCCCACCACTGGCAAGGAAAGACAGAAGTTTTCCTTAAAAAGTTAAGATGAGCTATATGTTGGTGGCAGTGGATACATATACAAACTAAGTTCACATAGTGCCTGGCACCCACTGCCTATGACTCCATCTTGTCTCACTCAATCAATGGCAATCTCATTTTGAAATCAGGTTTTAAACAACTTTTAGATAGGAATTTAAACTAGTCCGTGTTTATTGCAAGCACTCTTTATACTCCTACAGTTACTATTCCAGCCAAAAAGTGAAATTTGTTGCATTAATACAGAACAATGAGCACAATATTAACAGATATGCAGTTCCATATTTGATGGAATACATTTGATAATGTAAGCTTTTAAATATTCATTATTCACTTATGATATTATTTACCTCGCTGACAGAATAAAGGATCGCTCTACACTTTCTATGTTCAACTCATTCTGGTAAGCTTCATGGGTTGGTTTTCTAACCTACAGTGGGGACCAAGGAAGCAAAAATACAAACTGAGTTAAAGAGTCTTAAGAGTTATCTGTAACTATAGTCAAACAGAAGCAACACAATATCCCTTGCAGAAGGTGACAAAAGTGAAAAGAAGAAGTTCATGCATTATCACATCACCTGCTTTACCTGTGACTAGTTAAAGGGCATTTTTGATGTTTTTGAGCATTTTGCCTGAAAGGTGCATCTGAGGGATGATCCTGAAGTTTTTAATAACAGGTTAGAAAAATGCTTGCTAAGGATAGTTTTGACATGGATGAACCTGCCTTGAACAGGGGAATGGATTAGATGACCTCCTGAGTTTCCCTTCTAGTTCCATTTTTCTATGATTCCAAATCACAAGGTTCAAATTTAACTGACTCTGCAAAATGGAAGAGTGAGATTCTCCTGACTTTAGCTTAGGGCAAATAAATCCCTTGATACAATTCACAGGGGACATTGCTGAACTAAATACTCCTCAGAGGTTTAGGAGATAGAAGTCAAGTGTAAAATGCATATAGTATTGGTTGCTAATTGAAAAACTACTGACATGTGCACACTATCAATCCTTTCAACTCACCTCAACTGCTGTCAGCATTGTGCTAGCAGCAGCCCAGAACTGACTAATTACTGCTAAGAGGCAAGATGCTCCCAGTAATAATATAAGGAGACTTGCACTGAAGTGTGAACCTCCGAGAAGAAGCTAAGCACATACTCTGAATGATGCTAATAAGTATTAATAAGGTGCCAAAGGTTGAGAAGCAGGCTGGTCAAGTGTGAATTAGTTTAAGTGGTGCCTTGCTATCAAGGCACATAAAAATAATAATCAGTGGAATCTGAAAAATAAGTACCATCCTCATGGTTTAAATGGCTGCCCACTTTGCCCACAAGAATATTTTAATGAAACAAGAAAAAACAGATTCAACTCTGGTGCTTCTCTTGGAGGCACCATTTTAAATCCCCCTCTCCCTGCTTAATGCTTGCATTTCTCCCCCTGGGGATCAGCAGTCTTTGGAGCCTCAGTCGTGGAGGATTTGGCCAATCAGGAAGTAATCAGACTGTCATAACTCTATGCGTTTTGGGGACAGACAAAAAGTTCAATGGCTGCTGGACAGGGGGAAGGGCCATTTAAAACTTTACTCAAGAAACAGGAAGGTTTTCAGGGAAGCTCAATATTGAGCCAAATGGCAGTTAAAACTAACTTGTGATAACAGAACTGATTGAAGGGGCCTGAAGAGTCTGGCACACTAATAGCATATCTAGACCGTGCTCTATACTGCTCACCTTTAGTCACACACCCCAAAGTAAGTTCTCTCTTAGCTGACTGCCCCTGTCCCCTAGTACTAACTGTACTCTTTAGTAGTTCAAGAACCACAGAAAACAAACTATGAATTTTAATATTTATTTTCAATAATGAACTTGTCTATGAGTTAAAGTAATTTTTGGCAGCAAGTTTCTCTAGCAGATACCTCAGTGACTCACCTTCATTCCAGTCAATGAAAGCATATTGTTGAGTTTATACATGCCAGACTGTACTGGAGTTGTATACAACAGGGCGTCATTAAACTGCAATGAAAAATACCATTTTTCAGTGACTAAAGGGTGCTTAAAGATGGACAGATTATTTCTGGTATACCGTATTAACAATACATGAAATACATAAAGAAATAATACATATATATTCAAAGGTTAGACTAACAGGGTGTAATGGATACATTCCTGGACTACTGTTCTAGCAGGATCTGAGAAGGGGAGTCTATTTACTTGTAAATGAAGGTAACTTGTATTTACATTCTGACTATCTAAACATATTGGTCATATTTTTAAAGGCATTTTGAAGTGCCTGAAGATACAAGTAGTGGGATTTTCAGAAGTGCCAGAATACCTATCTGTATTTTTAAGTACGTAAAGATCATTAAAAATCTAGCCCAATGAGATCAGAGTCAAAGTTATCTACTAATTTTGGGTGCCCAATCTGAGTGCCTGATTTTTCAGAATACATGATAGTATGCACTTTATTCTGTCAAAGCACAGCTCCCACTGAAAATAAGAAAATTGTTTATTGAAGTCAAAATTGTTTTCCTGCAGTGGGAAAACTCAAAAGCTCACAAATGGAGAAAAACAGGCTTATACCAGCAGAGAGAGCATTCCACTTGTGGAAGTGTTTGGGTATTTCCAAGTAAGTAGTAGATAGAACTTTTGCTGGGAGGCCAATTGTGAATGTGGCAGTAATGCTCAGGCAATTTCATATTTTTCAAATGAAGATGAACAATATCTTAAGTGAAAATTAAATCTTATAAAACTTATATAAACAGATGTTGTGATCATCTATAATCTTTTATTGCAACAACCTTTGTTAAAAAACAAACACAAAAATACTGTCCAAAGGCAGACATGTAAATACCTATACTCAGTAGATATGATCTTTAGATACTGAGAGAAATACCAATCTTTAAAATACTTTCGATGTTGAAAGGGGAAAACAAATACAACGTACATTTACTGATATAACATATTACTAAGTTATTAATATTATTTGTTTGGCAGTAGCATCTCAGGTACCAACTAAGACAGCAGCCTTATTGTGCTGGAAATTGCATGAACAGTAAGGCAATCTCTACCTTAAAGTGTATGCAATTTGATTAGAAGAGCCAGACAGAATGGGAAGGAAAGGAGAGGCCCAGAGAAGAAGTGACTTGTCTAAAGCCAAGAGCATGTCAGCAGAACAGCCAAGACTAAAACCTTGAAATCAATCCCTACCCAATACTCCATCCAAAGACGTAAATATGCATTTTAAAAGAATGAGAAGTAATGCCTCAACCACCCAAATTTTATGTTTCAAAACCTATTAATATTCAAGGAAGTAGAGGTGTTCTAAGTTTTTCAAGATCATGCTTTTTCCCGCAACAGCTCTTAAAAAAACAGTAGCTGAGCCTTGTTCAAACAGTGGGAATGCTTGTTTGTTCTTTTTTAGTGTACATGATACAGAATCTTGTTTAACTGTACTGAGAAGGCAAAACAGTGCTCAATTTACTCTGGCATTAGGCTTGCAGATATATACATGGCATCTCACCAGAAAAAACATTCGTGGCTGCATGACCTTCCTGGACAGCTTCATCAATGTTCCTTCTTTCAGGAAGACCTGGCAAGGTAAAGCAGATAAACAAATTGATTTAAAACTCAGCTGCTGAGGACACAAACTGAATAAATAAGCTTCTTCTTTCTTTAAAGTTATTATTCACATAATGTATAAATGCTCCCCCGCCTTTTTTTTTTTTTTTTTTTTTTTTTTTTTTTAAAAAAAAAAAAAAAAAAAAAAAAAGGGGGGGGGGGTTTAAAAATTTTTGTAAAAAAAAATTAAAAAAAAAAAAAAATTTTTTTTTTTTTAAAATTTTTTTTCCAAAAAGTTAAAAATCCCCCCCCCCTTTTTTTTTTTTTTTTTTTTTTTTTTACAGACACAGAAATAATATACATAAAGCCCAAATGAAGAAAAATTTGCTGTTCTGAAATAGAGTTTCTAACAAATTTATTGTAAAAAAACCACACTCCTGAATAAAATGTCCCTAATATCCTTAGGGGCTTAAGCCAATATAAAGATATGAATATGGGAGGACAACTATTTAGTCAAAATGTGTCTACTTGTCACAATACACAAATCATACTTCAACAAATGAAAAAGATAGCTCCTATCAAAAGTGAATAACCAGACCTATCAACTAACCTAGTTTCCTGTGAGAGGCTGAGTCTTAAATGCAAGATAAAATGCAAAATCCAAACTGAATAGATCAATATCCAATTCAAATAAAATTGCTATCTTATTATGTATATGGCTGCTCATACAAACTCCAAAGGCTGGGTTATAGGCTCATTTCTGCAAACATACAGATATGTAACTTCCTTCCTGTGAGAGCTGAAGTGTTGTTGTAGCAGTGAGGGTCTGGGAAACATGATAGAGATGAAGAGTTCTGTGGATGTCATTTTATTGGAGCAACAACATGGTTGGAATAGATTTAGACACGCTTTCAAATACAATGTAACCTGAAGAAAGCATTGTATTCAAAGGCTTGTCTAAGTCTATTGCAACCATGCAGCTGGTCCAATAAAAGATCATCTGCAGACATTCTTGCCCCTCTCATTCGTCCTGCAAGTGCTTTCACCGAAATGAACAGAACTGCAACTGATACGGCAGATCACAAGAATAAAGCCTCCCACATCTGCAACTCACTTAAGTCACAGTATGAACCAGTACAGTTCTTCAACAATGCACACAAGTGATGCCACAGAAACTACCAAGCTCATACTATTCAAGTGTGACTATGACAAGGATAGAAAGGTTAGGAAATCCAGGCCATCTTCAACTCAGCTGTTGCTGCTGATCCCCAGGTCTCATTAAAGTCAACATGAATGGTGTGCTCCAGCTTATCTTTAAGTCTTGAAGCAGAAGCAAGGCTGGCAAGCACAGCTGGTAACAAAACACATGTATATGTGTAGGGCTTTATGTACTAAAACTGGTAGGTTCTCATTTTTTCCTCAAAAAGTTAAAACAACCCTTAAGAAACATGTGTTCTACAATCAGCAATTAAGCAAGGAATCATTTTTCTCTGCACTTTAGGAGTGGACTTCTATGCTTTGTACTACCACAGTTTGTACTGCAGTTTCCTTGCTGCTGTCTACTGACTGCTATGTGGGGCACTTACCCTTCCTGGTTGTACAATCTCATGGTGTCCATTTAAACTGTACTGAATCTGCATAAGCTTTTGAAAGTTATCCTACAAGGGGAAAAAAAACAACACACACACAAACAATTAGAACTGCTTTTAAAATTTAATTACAAAATCATTTTGTGATGACATGACTTTAATTGGTCACTTTCCACACACAGGATACTTACTCCTTGTTTCATGATGTCATTAGCATGGTTGGCTACTTCTATGACAACAGCCAAAGCATCTGAAGTGTGAAGAAACAATACTTTTGTTATACAGCCTTGTCAGTGGTTCCTCCTTCAAAAATACATTTGCTTTTTTTGAATTTCTCTCTAAACTAGTTTTCCAGTTTGCTCCTTTCACACATTTGACAGCTCTGTACACATGCTCCTTTCCACTGCTATATTGTTTAGTCTCCCTGGTTGACACAGCAAGTGGGGAGAGAACAACATTAGTTGACTTGGGAACCTCAAAAGTGTGTATGGCGTTCCAAATTACTTTCAACTCTTTTTTTCTTAATGAACCAGTTTTTCCAGACTTGTTATTGATGGAAGACCACCACTGGACCTTTTGTCACTGAAAAAAAAATTTCCACACAAAACAATCTAAACCTACTTTCCATCTGCTTACTTTAATAAAAAATATGTGCTCCAGTTTATTTCTACTGCACAGCCAGACAGGTTTGAATGCGAGTTAGGTTCTCAAGCACTCTTCTTTATTAAGATCTTATGTCCATGCAACCCTTCTGAAGACGGCAGGATTACAAGGGTGTCAGAGGGACAATACAACTGGGGATTTGTGAGAAAATAACCAACGGACCAATTTAGAGCCTTTATAATCAGTTATGATGCAAACAAAGGAAAAAAAATCTTAAAAATTTCAGATTCTCAATGTTCTAGGGAAAGCAGATTTTATTTGTCAACTTTTAATATTCTCCAAGGGGGACAAACAATCAATTATTTTTCAGATAAACTTGAAACTGAACAGATAACACCTCCATTTACCATACATTAATAGGGATCTATCCAATTTACAGGGGCTGCCCTCCTGCAAATTCATGGACAGAATGGAAGGCCTGGCAGCTATTTTGTGGGCGGAGTGCAGCACCTGCCCCTTACCATGGATTGGGGGAGGGCATGGGCCCACATAACAGCCAAAGAGCAGTGAGGGGCAGGGGTGGCAGCCATCTTAGTGGTCAGCTGCCGTCTTCCCCGCCACAGCAGGCTGCTGCAGCACCCTCAGAACTGCTGGCCCCCCTTTTTTTTTCCCCATGGATTTCCTGGGCACTGACCAGATTTTATGGAATCATGAAGTCAGCAGGTCCCTATGCATCAAATGTTTAGAAGTATTTTTGTTTCCCATATATAAGCAGTATTTATTTTGATTGAAGACATAAAGACATTTACCCTGAGTATCCCTATAGTCTGCAGATTCCTCCAAAAGATTCTTTAAATAATCTGCATAAAAAAATAGAAGGAAAATATATTAGAAACAAATCAAGCAGTACTATAGAAAGGAGTAAAAGCATACAAATTTTGTTCAAGGAACTTACTTTTTATTAAACACATGCTACAAGTAGCCCCCCCACACACTAGATTTTTTTAAAATCTCTTCAAATCCAAAAACCCAAGAAATTTTGTAACAGAAAAAACATGTTCTTATCAGAAGCACAGCTAGTCAATATCTGCACAGCACACATCTGCTATTTAGGTCTACTTTGGGGAATCAGGTATAAAAAGCATGAACAAACAATGAAATAAATAAAAATGCATGCTTTCACAAACACAGTTTTCCCCTATATGATATACTTTGAGGTCATCCAGAATAAGATCAACAAGCAGAAACTGTTCATTAAATAAATGTTGAGTGTAATAACATGCATCTATACCAAATTATACTACACAGAATCATTTACACTCAATTTTATGTGCGTAGATTTTAACAGTTACAAATAACAGTTCAGCTTTTCATGTTACCCTGATTATAATTATTTAACAGTATCTGACAACAACAGTTATGGTATGCTTAAGGTTTTTTTCCAGTAAAAGGAAAAATAAAGAGAAACATGCTACAATTTTGTACTTTGTTCATTAGTGAGAAAAACCAGTACTTAACCACTAGGTGGCACACTTGATCAACAGCATATTTGTAGCTTGGAGGTTTACAATCTCCTTTCCTGAAAGACCATCCAATCTGCAGTGCTGTTGGAGGGTCTTAGGATGGCATGTTTCATGCAGCACATGCTGGCCCTAGCCCCACCTGCTGCATGTGATGCACAGAGTCCATATGCAAGGATGCAAGCTGCGCACTGTAGAAGGGCTAGAGCTAGCACAAAACTGGCCCTGCACACCAGATCTATGGCCAGTCCAGATCAGGCACACAGATCACCCCCATGTGCCATAACTGCTCTAGTTGGGCCAGAGGAATAGCCATATTTTATGAGATTTGGCACTCTCCCAGTGTTTTTACTATTGTCTATCATGACACCAAACTTTCTCTCCCCCAGAATGGGTATTTCCTTCTTCACCATGAAGAAACCCTTTTCTGTACCAAAGATTAAGAAATTGTCAACTAAATCTAGTGTTTTTCAAAACAAATTTAAACAACTGCATGCACAAATGCTGAATGGGGAATGACTAGCTTGGCTATGAGGGGGCTATATACAGTGAGTTTCAGGGTAGCTGCAGCCCCCACTGTAGCCCCCTCCCAGCAGCACTACCCCCCACC